TAGCTGCGTTCATGGGCCCACCACCGAATGGTTTAACTCGAGATGAATTCCGAATTCAATATCTCGAGCGAATTGCTGAACAGGTTATCGATGGTAACTTTCGCAGCATTATTGCATTTCTTAAAAGTTTGAATAGGGGTCGATGCTAACCGTTTGAATCGATACGCGCTACGCCTCCAATACTTTTACGGACGCGCGGAGGCCATGGACGACATGGAAGTTGGCATGTGATGCCAAAACGAGGATGTTATGTGTATCATTTCGACTGCATTTTTTAATTGAGTTCAATTTTTAATTTGAGTTATACTATTTTCATCGGGGGCACACGACACAATTCATCGGGCAGATGGCCAATTGCTTGGGCATACGGCTAATTATATCGGGCACACAGCCAAATATATCGGGCACACGACCTCGGTGTGCCAAATTAAACGGGCACATGGCTAATTATATCGGGCACACCACCAAATATATCGAGTGCACGGCCAAATACATCGGGCATTCGTCCAACTTAACTGCAAAAAGGTGTAGTAATACTACTTTACAAACGTAGAAATAATATACCAACTTGAGTAAATAAATGAATTTCATTTACCAGTTCAGTGTTAGAAAACATTCACATCATCCATGATCCGGATACAGCCGGGATAGCCGGATAAAGCTCGCGCACCTCACAAATTCGTCACAATCACAATCGTCAAAATGTTCCGTCACTTGGTCCGCACTGTCGCGTTGCCGCTGTCTGGCGCAGTGCTCGCCGCGTCGTCCTTTTCCCATAACAAGGGAACCGCACACCGCGTGCCGTCGAAGACAGATGGGGCTAGAGTATTCAGCTGGGGATCCAACGGATTTGGGCAATTGGGTCAAGGCCACGAAGTGGACCTGTCGACGCCGACGCCCATCAAGATCGACCGTGCGGCACAATCCGTCGCGTGTGGTGGAAACTCATCGGCCATCGTCACGACGGAAGGGCACGTGTATACGTTTGGTGCAGGTACGGATGGTACACTTGGACGACGGAACATAGTCCGCCAACGACGCGGCGGGGTTGTTTGTGGTAGGAGGAAGCGCCCGCCTCGGCCACGGAGATGCCATCGATACCCCGAACGTGTCGACCCCGCAACTCCTTGAAGTGCCCGACTTGGTCTTCCAAAAGGTTGCTATTGGTGAGTATCACATGGCAGCGTTAACAGCAGACTATCGGCTGTTCACGTGGGGGCGTCACAACAGTCCGCAGTTGGGCCACGCGTACGTATTATATGAATATTTATATACTTTCAATCGAATTATATATATATATATATGGTTTGTATTACGTAGGAATGTCGCGCGTGGATTTCCCAACGAAGTAGCTGAATTGCGAGGTTCGTTGAGTGGATTTATTAGATCACAAATATATATATGCCGTTAAGAACGATTTTGTGTAGGCAACGTCCAAGATATCGCGTGTGGCCGCCAGCACTCGGTCGCAATCACGACCGACGGAAAGGTATTGCAATTTGGTTGACTTTTGTGCAAAAATCTATCGATATCGATTCTTTATACTGAATTTTGTATGTAAAACATGTCGTCTGTAGTGATTGGTATAATTTGACGTGGATGATGATGGTTTCCTGCAATCTGATTGGCTACATCCTTCTGCGCCGATTCTTGCGCACATTTCGTTGTGTCGATTTATTCGAACCTGTCGCTCCAGTTTCGAATAAACACAACAATATATATATCAACTTGTGAAACGGTACGAGTATAAAAACACTGTGAGACTGGGCACGTTTGTTGGCGCAATAATATATTAACTATATTTTATTTCTGTTTTTTCATGTCATGGAATAGTTATATGTATGGGGACTGGGACACGAAGGAGCGTTGGGGCATGGAGACAAGGCGAATGTAGATCGACCTAAGCTTGTGGCTGCGTTGGCTAAGGAATCAATCGTTCAAGCAGCTTGTGGACGAGGTATATATTGTGTTTTTGCGTGAATTATGACTATTTCATTTTATACAATAATTTAATTTTTTTTAAGTAGCAGTGTTGACCCTATTTCAGTTAGCTTTTGTTCAAAGTAGTATACTACGATACACTGTGTAGCACACATCTAATAAATGGTTTTGCCCAAGGCGAAAACAACTACACTGGACTGCAAGTATAAAAAAAGCAAAATAAAAGTAAAATATTTAAAACATATAGTAAATAATTGAATTATTTTTTAGTATTCAGACACTGTAGATTTTTGGCCGATATGCACCAGAACGTGATTTGATTGGCTTAGGCGGTTTTTTGGCTTATTTTCACACAACAGTCGATATTCGGCTCCAGTTTGTTTGCATACTACTTGATCGAATACCGTGAAATTAAATGAACCATCCATATTTTGTTGTTGGGACGACACCAATCTAACGTTATGCATGGAAAATTGGGATATATATTGTCTATTTGATAGTACAAATTTGGGGAGGTGGTGCAATCGAATCGCGCCGACCAAACGATCCACAATCGATCTGATTGGTTATTGAAATTCATTGAGAAGGTTTTGATTAGTTAATAATGTTGAGCTCATCTGCAGTAGCCAATCAAAAAATCGATTTAAATTCCAACGAGAAACCACACCACGAAATGTCAAGCACAATATGTGCTCCTTGTATCTTTGACAAAATATTGATTCATTGATTGGGCGTTGGTCGTCTGCCACGGTATCTCATATTTTGTATGTGTATCATCGTGTTGAAAGAGTTTTGATTGGTCGATCATAGAATACACATTGGCGTTGACAAAAGAGGGTGTCGTGTATGCTTGGGGTGCCAACGACTATGGACAATTGGGGGTTGCAGGGTCGATGCGATACCAGCGAACGCCGTTACCTGTAACATCGTTGGATGGGTTGGACGTACGTACCCGTTTCTGTCATATGTATTACATACCAATACCCGAATTTGGTATGTTTTTAGGTCGTCCAAGTGGCCGCGGGGGAGTACCACAGTGCGGCGCTGACCGCGTCAGGTTCGAATATTTCACGAATAGACTGGAGATCTCCCCCTGGACTTTGATGGGTGTCTTTATATCATGTTTGACAGGTATACATACCCTTTGGACTTGGTTATAGCATGGGTGGGTATGCTGAAGTACGTTTGGTGTCGTTCTGTCCTGTATATAGATAGATAGGCTCAAACTAATATATTCTATGATATTTTTGATGGGTTAATCGTTTGGATAGTTAGTTCTCCGTGAAATGTATCTATACATATAGTAGTATTGTGGATTCAATGCGAATTTCGAGACCCTGCCGAATCGAATCACGAATCGACGCTATTGGCGAATCCAATTTTGAGTGAATTTGATTGGCTCCAAAGGACAAGTATAATCAACCAATCAGAAAAATGCGGCGTGATTCAATATTGATTTGATAAACCACGCGAATTTTGCATTTTTTAGCGAATTCATAGTACCAAGTACCTACCTTTGGTGTATACTAGTGTTGTACGTTGTGCGCTTTCTTTGCATATTGTAGGTGCAAGTTGTTGGAGCTGTTGTTCGAATAGTAGTAATATTGTGCATTTCAACAACCAAATTTGAATTACTTGAGAGAGTCATTTGGTCAAATAGCTTTCAAATCAAGTTGATCCTATTTTATCTTGTACACTCTATACTTTACAAACATTAGTATGTATGATTGGGTTTGGTTCCCAATGCGGACGGGTCCAACGTTTGGATTGGCAGAGAAAGTAGAATACTTGACGTGATTTGATTGGCTTTGGTGGTTTTTTAATCGATTCTCTTCGGACATTTGATTATTCTGCTAACGGCTCTAGTTTCAAATCGAGTATTAGACTATGTATGACAAAACTCGAGAGTAGGCCAAGTGTACACGTGGGGACTGGGCAAAGACGGCCAGTTGGGGCTCGGCACGAACGATGATCGAAACATTCCGCGAAAGCTCTCGGAGCTCGACGGCCTCCACATCGTCCAAGTCGCTTGTGGTGGGGGGCACACTGTGTGCGTATCTGGTAATGTTATGGTCTTTCGTTATTGAAATCATCTTTTCATGTTGCATGTCTAGCTAGTAGTACCACAACACTATTTGAAGTTCGACACTTGTTCGATAATACTGTGTGGTTGATGACACGAGTTTGATTGGCCCATACAAAAGTTTTGTTGTGCGTTTTGATTGGTCGAGCGATTGTTGGCCGATTGTTGGTACTGTTGAAATATATATGGGCACTACTATTATCAATACTACATTACCGTGTTCCTCCCGAAAATCTGGTTTTTAACGGTGTTGATGTATGTATATATATATATTTATTTATTTATTTATATATAAATATTATATATGTAGCGGACGGCAATTTGTGGGTGTTTGGACGCGGTCGCAGCGGGCAGTTGGGAAGAGGCGACCAGTTGGAAAGCATCGCCGCGTACCGCAACACCCCCGTGCAAGTGCAGGTCTGTCACACAAATACGATATTGCTTTATGGAACCTGCATCAAATTATATATATATTGGAGACAACCGATAATATGCAAGGGAATGAAAGAATTGAAATAATATATATATATATATATTCCCTATAGTTGCCTCTGAAACAACGTGCAAGTCAAGTAACCTGCGGCAGGGACCATACGTTGGCGATATAGACGTCGTCCTGGTGGATGGATAGCTGAAGAAAAAGATACGGACGTCGTAAAATCCTTGAATTAACACGAATATTTTGAGGCTAATTGGGATTTGGACAAGTTTGGTGCGACGGTTGTATGTGCAGAATAGGTTCCTGTACAGTAGTTAGATATATATACCAATAGTACACTAGTTATGGAATGCATCAATCAACATTTTTAGCCAATCATATTTCAACCTTCATTCTTTATAGCCAATCATACTCCTTTGCTCGATAGATGGCGATTTCATCAATCCCCCAAAATAGGCAAATTTGACTGAAAAGCACAACACTTAAGGTCCCAAGAACGATATAACTGTGGAGGTCGTTGTGCCTAGCTCGTATCGTTTCCGCATACAAACGGAAACCCCTTTAACTGGAGTTGTGTTGGACGTTTTATACCCTATGCATGGAAAGTGTCAACTTCACCTACAGTATGAAGTTCATCGTGGAAATTGATAATTCGATTTATCTGGTTTTGGACTTACAGAACTCAAATATCGTCAAACGGGCTTCAAACTTATGTGCATTCTACTCCTCCCTGGTGTTTTATGTTACATAAGTGGATTGAATATCCTCCTAAATTTAATGCATGTTGTGCTTTCAAACTAAATTTGGTATTTTCGGTAGTTTCGACGAACGACGTCGAATCGAAATCATCGAGTCATCGATTTACTTGAACTAAATATACTCACTGTGAATCATGTCAGTTACTGTACTATTAGTACTATTACTACGTAGTAGAATGTTGAACTCTTTTCGAAATGAAGAGATCTGTAATTTGATTGGTTAAAAAGGGTTTCATTCGAACATTTCATTGGCTACTTCGGTCACAACGTCGATTTTGCTTCGTCGGTTCGATTGGATCGAATGACCAATAACGTTACTGTATATATTTATTGATGACTTCCCATGCTTATTGGGGTTTTATGGCGTAGACCGAGGCGTGGGTATATATATATATATATATATATCGCATGGAAACGAAAGGGCAGGACGTGCGTCGGTGGCAGCATGCGACGTCGAGTCTTTTGGTGCTGCCACGTCATTCCGACGTCCATATTGCTTTTCCACGGCGATAACGTGAGCGAGCTAACGTCATCCACCACGTGGGCGCTGGAACCCCGATGGTTTGTACCGCGCAGACCCCCCTTGGCCTACACTTGAATGTTAATGCATAAGGTACGTGTTGGACAGAGGTGGGCGGTAGGAGCGCACCTTGGAGTGGGTTCGAGTCGCGACTAGTGGTGGTGGAAGGTTTCGACGGCTTGTTTGCTTTCTTCTTGAGTGCTGCTTCCGCCTGCTTTGCTTTGATCTAAAGCACAGCACATGGTGAGATGGTTAGATTAGACGAGAGATAAGACTCACTTGTTCTTCCATGATCGCCTGTTGGCGCTCCCTGGCTCGACGCGCTTCCACCTCGAGGATCTGCACCCGATTCGGGTCTAGGAGACAGTGAGATACGTCGAGGATAGGATACCATGGTCGTTTCGCATGGATTGCCTACCGTTGGCAGCGTCGAGGGACTGCTGACGGTCCCAATGTGTAAGTTGGATAGCCAACTGATGGTCCAAGTAGAGCAGTCCCACAATGCCCAAGACAACAAACCACCCGTACACCTGCATGAACGCAATCACATCACTTGACTTGTCATAGTAGTAGATGGCGGCAGCTGCAAGGCCGAGGAGCGGCAGGCCCCGCGCGCGGAGGAATGTGGCTAAGATTCCCGAGCTCATGACTTTCCAAGTGAGAAACCGGATACAAACACCGCAAAACTAATTTTAAACGTTAATATGTGCTGTAAATGACATGTTTTAAATGCATTTGAAATATGTCATTATTCTGATATCCTCAAAATAAAGAACTTCTCAACATTTTACTTGATGTTCGTATATAATTATATAATTTTGAAATGCAAGTACAGGATTGGTCGAATTCGACGCAACTTGAATTCGGCTCGGCGCGAAAGACCAACGGCATGACGACGGCGGCGGTGGCGTCCTCATCGGTCGAAGAAGGCAGTTGCCTGCCGTCACGATATCAATGTCCGCTGTGTTTGGACCTGTTGTCCTCACCAGTGCAGCTTCCATGTTGCAGAAAGCATCTGTGGTAAGAGTTCGCACCGATCTATGCATCAAGCATGGCACCGAAGTCAACCACTCACGGCCTGCCCTAGTCTGGCATGTTTTGAGCGCGCCGTGGCACTCACTTCCGCCAACTGCGCCTTCTGTCGCAAGCGAATCGTTAGCTTTGCAAGGCGACAGTCCAAAAAGGTGCGTCCCATCGCCTGCGTTGCTTCGACCACTGCCTCTCTCGGCGATGATGCTCTTGACCACCCATTTAGATTGACGATATCTTTTGGACCGAGATCCAATCCATGACGGAGGGCATGGACATCTCCACCCTCACGTTCGAAAGCGACGACATCGACAGTCGATCGCGCCCAGTTGTACGACTCATTTCCACCACTGGCCCGTTCATAGACGTGTCTGTAGAACTCGGCAGCCCCTGGCGAACTCCATACATACTATGAGCAATGCAAAGCCGAACGCGAGCACGAAAGGCACCTTCGCGAGCAAGACCAATTGGCTGCAACTTTGCGCTTTCTCGAGGCCGAATCGCCGTCATCCGCACGTCCACCTCGTCCAGAGCAGCAGCAGCAGCCGCCCCCAGCCACCACCATGCCGGTGCGTTCCCATTTCCCATAAGTGTATATGTAAGGGAATGTCTCTATATTTGCATGTGCACATAGCCTGTGTACTCCATCTTTGCATCCGCCGCTTCAGCTTCTATCCATCGAGCGTCGAAAGGCCCGGTGAAGAAGAAGAAGAAAAAACAGCCAGCGACTTTCAAACGAATCACTTCTCCCAACATAACACTTGCATTGAAAAGCAAACAACCAGTCAAGAATCGATGGAGCTGTGCGTCGTGTACGTATGTGAACGCCGCCACCCAAGCCCCCGTCTGTGCAATGTGCCATACCAAACGCTTGATGGAATAACACGCGATGATTATTTATATATACTAAAGTACTACATATTTCACAACACTACACCTTTTTGCAGTGAACTTGGACGAGTAGTTAATTTGGCACACGGATGTCGTGTGCCCGGTATATTTGGCCGTGTGCCGATATAATTGACCGTGTGTCCAAGCAATTGCCCACCTACCCAAAGAATTGTGTCGTGTGCCCGATGAAAATGGAAGTAAAAAGTTAATTCAATATAGAAATGGTCGCATCGTTGCTGTTACTACGTAGTAGTACTTAAATATATTGCGTGTCACGTCGACCAAACTGATCAAACGTAACAGTATGTACAAAACCCCAACCGTACGATGCAAAACGTGTCATGTATTATTTATTATGCAAGATATCAAAAGGATGCAAGAAAAGCCACACGTATCCGCTACGTCTTCGTTGGACAGTGATACGTTTGTGTGTGCTGGTGGATTTAGGCCAAAAGCTGCATGTACGCGTCGTCCAAGTCGACGCCCGCGGCGGAGGACTTCTTGGCCGACACGGCGGCCACGACTGCGACGGCAGCGAGGAGTCCCCCCGCCACGAGCAGCTCGCGGGCGTACGACTGTGCGGCATCGGCCATGGACTCGCCAAAGAACTTGACACTTCGGGTGTAGTAGATGTTGGGGTCCTTGGAGTCGGTGCAGAGGCCAATGGACGTCGAGCCAGGCAACGTTTGACAGGTAAATGGAGCCACGGTGGTGGGGGCTTTAGGGTTGCAGCACGTGAGTCCGGTCGAGTTGGTTTCGACGTAGATGGTGGTGGCCTTGCCATCTTCGATGGACGGATCGCTCGGGTATACGAGGGCCCCCTTGCACGCTTGGAATGGCGCCGGTTGTCTTGGCTTGAGGCCGGTGATGTCACTGTACCACGACACAACGTCGCAAGTGTCCTTGATGTACCGGCCCTGGTCGGTGGGGCGTTCGGCGTTCCAGCGGGGGTGGTCGCAGTTTTGAATGAGCACGGTCTTGGACCGCGACCGCTTGGTGGGCTTGACGTCGGCCGCGGCCGCGTTGGACTTGAAGAAAAAGTCGCACGAGACAGTGACTTCGGTCACGTCGACGTTTTGCATCTTGATCGCGACTTCCTTGTTGAAGGCCGGTTGCGCCGTGCCCAGCAACGCCGTGCTCAAGAATGGGGCCGCGGCTTTCGAGTTTTGGTACTTCCACGAACACGTCATGCCGTAAAACTGCCACTTGATGCGCACTTCCACGGGCGACGGGGCGGGGGTGGGGCTGACAGGGGCGGCGGTGGTGCTAACGGGGGCGGCGGTGGTGCTAACAGGGGCGGCGGTGGTGGTCAACGTGTCTTGCAGCAGCATTTGCATGGCCAGCGTCTCTTGTTCGATCACTTGCGGGGCGTGGGCTCCGTCCTTGCCGCAGTAGACAAACCGACTGCCTTCCTCGCGAATGCGGTTAGTGCACGCTTCCTCGGACGAGGCCGTGTCGCAGCTGGCATAGTGCCACCAGCACCCTTCCGAGCACGTTTTCTTGTTCTTATTCTCGTCCTTGTACTCGCACACCTTGTACGCGTCGTTGGTCAGGGGGTCGATCGGGATGTTCTTTGCGTCCGACGGGTTCAACATGCTTAAGTACGTGTCGCACTGCGGGTCAAACTTGAACTTGCACACGCGAAAGTCGGTGTGTTCGACGTTGCACTTGCCCGCGGCGCCGCAGTCCCACATCGAGTACCACCAGTCGTCAATGTGCACCACCTCGGTGCGATGCACGTAGATGGTCCACGTGATCGAGTCGCCCACCTTTCCGCACGCCGTGTACGCTTCAAAGATGAGCTCGGATTTGAACTGGGGAAACGTGAGCACCGCCGTCGAGTCCTTCAAATCGCCGGTGGCCGAGGAAATTTCCTGCCACGTGCCGGCGAGGGTGTTTTTCACCCGCCAAAACACAATCGGGTTGGCCGTGGTCGTCGAGCGGTTGACCAGCAGCGCCTTGACCGCGTCGTTGTCCGTGTTGAGCGTGGCTTCCAACTGGAACAAGTCGCTGACTTTGACTTGCAACTGCGACGTGCAATACGTGGCAAACTCTGGCGCGTTGTTGTCGCACGTCACGTCAAAGTGCAGTTCCTTGGACGTCGTGCTCGGGGCATCGTACGTGGAGCCTGGAAACACCGTTTTCGGGTCGGCAATCGGCGGTTTCACCGGCGATGGTTTCAGCGACACTTGGACCTTGGAAACCAAATCCGACGCCTTGGCCGTCACGGTTTGCGTAAAGTTGCAGAATTGCGTCGCATCCCCGGCGCACTGGCGCCGGTCCTGGCCCTCGACCCCGTAGTCGGTGGCGCACGAGTACGGCGTGTAGAATTCCTTGAGTGTGACGTCGTACTTGCACGATCGGGCGCACGTGAACACGGAGGGGGAGCTAGGCGACGTCGCAAACACGGACGTGGTGAGTTTGGCCCACTCGGCGTCGGTCAACGCATCACTCAAGCACGACTTCCAGCTTTGGAGGGCGTCGTCGACCTTGGTGTCGGCCTTGCTGTCGCGCTCGGACTCGACGCCGAAAAAGTTGGTGCGCACGAGGCCCAACGCGTCGCACCGGTCGTCGCTGCACTTGTTGTTATCGGCTTTTTGACGGTATTCCACGAGTTTGTCGACTTGGTACTTCAACTCGTCCACGTTGGCCTTGGTGAACCCGTCCTTGTAGGCGTTTTGGCACGACCCTTTGACCCCCGTGGGGCGGTACATATCGGTCACGGACAAACACGTCGAGCAATCTTTCGAGTCGACCCCTTCAAAGTCGTACGCCTTCAAGTTGTACTTGTACCGCCCCGCCGAGTGCCCCGTTGACTTGTACAGAATGGACGCGGCGTTCGTTTCAAAGTTCTCAAAGTCAAAGTACTGCGTGTCGACCACCGACGCGCCGTTGTTCTTGGACACGTCGAACTCGATGTCCAGTGAAATGTGCGGCTTGTCCAGCGAGTCCTCCGTGATCGCGTGGTTTGGGTCCGTGTCGTAGTGGTAGCTGCTTCGGGGGAACGGGTACGCCAGAGCCTTGCCCGCCTCGAAAACGTTGGCAAAGCACTCGGTACGTGACGTTTCGCCGTCGCTGTTCTTGTTGTCCTTGGTGATCGCAAAGTCATACTTGTGCGATCCCGACGGACCCCACACACACTGGCCGTAGTTGTCGGGGCGCCTAGTCTCGGATCCGGTCCCAGGCACGATATCGTACGCTGACTCGGCCAGCGCCATGCGCTCGCCAATCAGTTGGTGGCCATCCGCCGTCGACGCCCATTCGATCGCGGCGCGCGTCGAGGGCAACGTCCCCACCGTCAACAAACCAGGCACAAGAAACCGATGCATTTGAAGCTGCCAATTGAAGAATGACCCAAACGCTACGACCGCAGCGTGATCTCCTTCCACAACACGTCCATATTCGAACATGAGGCTGCCCTAAACATTCGACCGCTACGTGTTGTTCCACGTGGCGGTTGACGGAGCGTTTATTCCATCTTGGAACATTCAACCCCCCAGGATAATAAGCTCTACATTCATCGCCCTCGGCCACGTTGAATGAATGCCTCTGATTGTTGGTCAGCTCATGCTGTTCGATGATCACGATGCACTTAATACTAAGTACATCTACACGGTATATAAAACTGGTCACGTAACTTCACGTTAGCACAATGTTATCGTCTCCCATTATCCCATGATTCCAAATACAGGTAACGTTCGTTACAGGTATATCCATCGACAATTTCAAAAATAGAAGTAACGTTACCGACGATACGAACATTATGATGATGCAGCTAACAACCACCGAGTCCGTTTGCCAGTAGATTTGGGAAGGCACCAATTGTCAAAGAGTCTACGTGATGACTGACGAACGCAATACAAAGTTGGTCGACAAAGCGAACAAAAGTGGATTGTAAAACCCAACACTGTAATAAGTCCACCAAAGCGAATCAAGTGTCGTGGTATCTTACGACCCTTGAGTTAATTAGCTTGGAGGAACAAACAGCATGGGCATTCAGAGGAAGCCTCACATCCATGAATGATAACTGATAAAACTGCATTGTGTCATGTGCTGAACAGAGACTCTTCATTTCCAATTAAGTTTGGGCCTAATTTGCAACGGCTTAATCACTAGCCTCTACTCGAATCCACTCATCGACCAATTCAACATAGAATTAGTGTGACCTAGACTAGTGTGAAATTGGATGATTTTGAACATAACGTTACTATTAAAATAGTAACGTTATGATTCGCCAAATCTATCAATCGATTCTTTGGTACTGATTTTCGTATTTACTGTTACTATTTTAATAGTAACAGTAAATACGAAAATCAGTAACGTTACTGTTGTGGTGGGCGACTTAACCCAAGTCCCGCCATGACACAGGTGGTCCTCAACCGAGGCCACCGGGTGCCGACCCTTGGCGAACCGACACAAAAAGGCATAGTATTATTAGTAGTATTACTAGCAGTGCTAGGACGTAGAAAACAGAACACCTGTCCCAGCCAACTGCCAGAATCTCACTCTTGGTTCTGCAACGTCGTGCTAACGTCAAGCCAATCAAGTGTGTGGTTTGCAGGGAGTCGGCACTCCCCCATTTGGTTGTTTGTGTTGGCACTGACGTGGGAAACAACACAAAGTATACTTTAGTTCCAGTGACCTACGGAACTGAGAGCAATGGCGAGGAACTCAAAAGATCGCACCCAGAAGCCGAAGGCTGCAGCAACGGCGCCAGCAGCTACGAGCAGCGAAACTGAGGAGGAAGTACTAGTGACAGAGCCACCGTTGGTCCCGGTAGTTGGAGGGACCACGGATGTGCTGCCGGCTGTGGAAGAGTCCAAGAGCGAGGAAGTCCGGAAGACGATGGAAGAGCTGGTCAAGGCGAACAAGGCAACGGGTAGCGCGCGAGCGGCGTGCATGACCTGGGATGAATCGCGGCGGCGATATGGTGACAAACCATGGGACCGAACTGGGAACAACTATCACGACCCCCAATCGAAGGCGCCTATGTCGACGAAAACTACCCGCCGCCAGAGAAGTCCGATGCCGAGAAGCGAGCGGAAGAAAAGGCGGAAGCTCGAGCTAAACTACGTGCGGAGCGACGAAATCGGCCGGACAGTACTCCTGACAGCGAGGAAGAAGAAAAGGAATACCAAGAAGAATAGCGTAAGCAAGCTGAGCGGCGGCGGATAAACAAAGCCAATCGTCCCCCCAAGGAGAAGCGTGTCGACCATGCCAAATTGGCGCGTGCGGCCCATGATCGGCGTATGCTGGACACCACCCTACCAAGCAGTTCGGGATGGGGACCTCTTACGAGTGGACCACCGACGCCAAGCAGTGGAGGATGGGGGCTCAACTTCAACTCCAGTGGACCTTCATTGGTGGTGACAGATGTCCAACCCCCTCGGATCACCTGTATGGACATGACATTCCTAGTCAGTTAGGTGAAGAAGAGGGAGACATATGAGAACAAGCTACGGGCGAATGCGCAACGCATGGGTGGCGAGTGGCGACGGAGTGCTCTGGGGTGGATCCCTTCCACTGGCCGCAGCCTCCTGAAGGCTACATGCACCTATGTTTGGCGAGTGCCTGTGGAACAACTCAATTAGGACGACTACCGCGACCGCATCATGGAAATCGTCGGACAACCAGCGACCAAGTGGACACCCACCAAGTCAGACATGCAAAACTACTGTCGGACGCTGAGTGTCGACCCCCATGGAGACGTGACCAGTCGTCTGGTGTCATTTATGGAGCGGGTTGATGACGTCATCGACGAGAACGGCTTACGTCAACAACTCAAAGATTCAACCATGCTGAGAACGTTCGTGAAGGTGGTAGCAGCGCGTGTCACACCCAGCTACCTACGCGACAGAGTCGAAGAGCAAATGAAGACCGTGCCAGCGAACGATCTGGTGGCCTTTGCGGATATCCTACGCGAACAGCTAGACCGAACGCATGATGCGGACATGGTCAATCAACAAAGAAACAGCTATGGTTCGAAGCGTGGCCGTGAAGAAGACAACCAAGGGCGCCGCATTACGAAACATGCGAAGAAGGCCAACCAAGCTGTTCGAGATCAGCGGGAATTACGAGGAAATTACCCACCTCCACCAGGTGGATATATCAAGCCGGAACGAAGTGCGGCGGTGTGGTCCCCGTCGACACAAAAGCGAACGGGGTCCCACGAGCCAAAAAGTACGGACCGCAATCGAACTCGCGCCCAAGACATGATGACCGCCATGTCCAAGCTGTGCGTGATGAAGCACGTCCTCGATTTGCACCCGGCCAGGATGACCGCGGCATGCTATGCGTTGTCTGCCAGCAACCAGGACATATGGCCCGGGAAGGTCCCAACAAAAAAGACGGCGATACAAGCTGGAAGAAGGGCAAGAACGCCGTCAAGCGGTTCAAGGCGCGGGAACGCAAAGCGAATATGCAAGCGAAGCGAATGAAGAAACTCCCACCGCCCAGCAAGGAGGATGATGGACGTTGGGTGCGGCTAAACAGTATGCTGGAAGTTCCCTACTGCCCGGACATCGGCGCAGACCAAAACATTGTGCCACAAGCCATGGTGGATGAACTTCAAGCGTTACAGCCACAACTTCAAGTTGTCAAATTGGCTGCGCCATTTGTGGGAACAGCATGCAATCAGATGCCATTCGAAGCGAGCTCCTACGTGGACCTTACGCTAACAATGCAGACGGCCGCTGGACCAGTCCAGGT